TTGAGCAACTGAAATCCTTTTTACTTAAGCCTTGCTATGAACAAGTATATATATTTCTAAAATATATCAATATTTCTTCTTGTCTTCACTGATTACAGTATTAAATAAAATAGGATTTTTCCTTAATGATTCATTCTGAACATTAGTTTTCATTGCATAACTCTACCGATGTAAATGTCAAATGTAAAGAAAGGAATAGATTGTGGGCTGATTCTCAGAATTCACCGTAGAGTTGCTAGCTTTTTAAAGCATGTTCCTTACATAAGTTGCTTACTTGTCACAGTGTCTTTCTCTGTAAGTAAAAATTGAGGAAAAAAGGAAGTTATTTGAGTGTTCTGGTCAGTTGAACTAGAGTTCAAACTTGACTTTTCATTATTAGCTTTTAAAAACCTCTGCAAAACAGATTTTATTATATAAAGTAGAATTATATAAATCTTGCCATTTGATGTATCATCAAAGCTCTTTACCAGAAATCATTAAGAAAACCTAACAATAAGAACAGTAAAGAAAGTGACCTCACAGCTACACTTCACATTCATGAAGCTACTCAGAGCTGAGCATGTGTTGTTTGAGAATTACATGAGGGAAACAACAAAAATATTAACAGTTATAAAAAGGCATAAGGTGTGAAGCAACAGAGTGGGTTTGGAAGAATAAAAGTCATTTGATATGATATAAGGAGGGAGGAGGAGCGCAGTTGTAGTGAGGTGAAGAGGTAAGGCATTACTCGTGAAGGGCGGGAAGAACAAACACCAGTCGTGAAACGTGCCACACACTTGCACACAGCTGTGAACCATAGTGTGTTGCAACCATCTGCTTTCTGTCTCTTGGTTCCTCCTCATCAGTTGATTACAGATAGTTTAGGATACTAATGATAGGCTCTTCAAATTTGAAAACCGAGATCTCACACAGAAGCTAATTTAACATGTTTTATTTTGTAGATAATGAGTTAGAGGCAAAACTGCAGGTTTCTAAGAATTTGTGATCAAAGTCACAAGCAAACAATAGAAATAATAACTAAACTATCATTTTAAAAATCCTTAAGCACTGAGGCAACTGAGATACCACCTACAATGTTTGAACTCCATTAATTTTAATCAATATTTTGATTAATGATAACATGCATAAAATTGGAGGAAAGATCCAGTACGTTTAATATTATTATAGCATAATGTCTTTCTTACGTCAGTTATTTGTTTTAGGTAAGACTGTAATATTTTTCTTCATTGAAAATCTTTATTTTAACTTATATTCAGTTATACTCTTAGTTACTGTATTAGTCATCTAATCCTACATAAGAAACCTCCTCCAGAATTTATTATATTAGTTTTAAAAAAAAACTCTACATTTAGCTCCCGTTTCTGCGATTTGGCAATTTGGGCTGAGTTCAGCCAAGCACTTCTTTTGATCTCTACTGGACTCATGCATGCATACGTGTGTGCTTAACTGTTTGTGTCCCCCACACCACATTCATATGTTGAAATTCTAACCCTCGATGTGATGCTATTAGGAGATGGGGCCCTTGGAGATGATTAGGTCATGAGGGTGAAGCCTTCATAAATGTGATTAGTGCCCTTATAAAAGAGACCCCAAAGAGCTCTCTCACCTCTTTTATGTCATGTGAGAGCACAAGGAAACGTCAGCAGCCTGCAACCCAGAAAAGTGCTCTCACCAGAACTACTACCATGCTGGCACACTGATCTCTGACTTCTAGCCTCCAGAACTATGAGAATAAATTTCTGTTGTTTATAAGCTACTCAAGCTATGGTATTTCGTTATATAATGGTAGCCCAAATTAACTCAGAATTCTGGGGTCTTATTTCTGTTCCATGCAGTGTCTCATCCTCTATCCAGCTAGCCTGGGCTTATTCCAACTGTGGCAAGGCCATCTTGGAGCACAGCATGCAAGGAAGGTGTCT